ACCGACTATCAGTTAAACTGAATCATAGTTTTGATATCTTTTTAATTTTAACCATTAATTTCAAGAGAGAATAATTGATGTCGTTATAAATTTGTGCTAATTTGCAATTTTTCTGTTTTTAAACTGTATCTTCAGGTCTTTAACCTCTAGAGATGTCCCCGATATTTGTATATTATTGTTAACAAAATAAGTCTACTGCCATGTAATCATTCAGAGCAAGACTTTGCTTTGCAAATTTCAATACGATTTCATATGGCTTTCTTGCCTAAATATTCTATTTTCAAAGCATTAGTAAGAGGAGAAAGAAGCTACGTAAAATAAGTTACGCCGTTTAAAATGATCTGTGGATTAAGTGCCTGTGGCGGCAACTATTACTAACCGCCGGCAGCCACTAGTGGCGGCCACTAATTAGTGGCGGCCACTAGTACCACCCGCCGGCGGCTACTAGTGGCGGCCACTAGTACTAACCATTATTATTCACCTGGTTATTGACCTCGCGTACGGGCGCTACTGGCCACGGAAGGATGCAGTGAAGGTTTACACGAGACCAGTAGCAAGATAATTAGTAGCAAACATCTTTTCACAGTTGTACTGGCCGCCACTATACTGGCTGCAGGTACAAGTATCGTTCTTTGCCAGGCGGTTAATCAGCTGAATCTGGTGACATAAGAGGCATCAGAAAAGGATTATCAAAGGTTAGTTAATGAAATTCCGGGCATTTGTTCATCATAACTGTTTTAGTTTAGGGTTTTTCTATAGTTGAAGTTTGAATAAAAAGACGGTTGAAAAAAATAGAATTGATGCGTCATTATATGAAATGGTAACTTCTCATAAAGGGTTGACTTGTAAATGGTGAGATGCACAGCTAAAACGTTATTTACGGAACAACTACATATTTACGTATATTTAGTATCATCCTACAGCTTAATCCACGGATACTACTCCTGAAATTTAATATACTGTCTTGACGTGAACAACGTACGAAGAAGAATTATTTTACTCAGAATATTTAAATAGAATGTGATGATTAATATCAATGTGTAGTGTCGATTTAAGTACACAGAGAATGGTTGATAGACTAAATTGTATATTATTTTTTCAATATATTACTCTAATAAAAAAATTTAACAAATATTACTCAAAATCTCATAATTCTCATTATAAAACTGATAAATATTATTTGTACATCGACACGCCTTGTAAGTTGTTTTACGAACGGTTCAAATTCAAAATTAAAAGATGCTTAGAATTGACGCTTAAATTCTAACCGCTTGTCAAAATTGTACATGAACTTTGCGCTAAAAACAAGACAAAAAACAATTAATTTTAGCCTTTTTAGCGCATTTCCTCATTTATGGAAAAATGGCGCTATTGTGCTCGTCATGTCCGTCTGTCTGTCTGTCTGTGACTTTACGCTTTCGTCGATTTTGAGAAAATGCGCTCTCTGTCACTCACTGCAGTGAGTACTGACTTATATTTTTTTAGATTTTCATTACCTTCTATGTTCGTCTTTATTATTTATTCAGTCATTATTCATGAGGCGGGCGAGAAGAAAGCTTCACTCTCAGCTTTCACGGATCTTCCTGATTTGCATAACATCTTTCAGGGACGTAGTTACGTCGCATTTACACACAAAAAAATAATGTGTCGTACTGTCTGAATAGTGATACATTTTCTTTCCAACAGCACGAGCAGGATGCAGACGCTGCACTGTTACGCCCTTTCGCTCGGCCAAAGTGGGTCAGAATGACCCACACATGGGCAAAAAGTGCATCGCTATTTGGACAAGCCTCACTCATTTCTTTGAGTGTGCAGCGACTCGACGTCGTCGCTGAATGTATGATTGTAAGTTTGCTTCTTTATTTTTTTAAAAAAGTTTCATTATCAGTCATCATCATCATCATCATCATTTTTTAAGACAACCGAAACTGTCTAAAGAAATATGGTAGATTTTTCGTTTCCATTTGTTTTTTCGATTTTTAGTTAATTTAAACTATCAAAGCTATGTAAATAATGAAACTAGTGATTTTTTCGAGGGAATTTCCGAAACATTCTCCACACGAACCTGAGTTTGACTTTCGACATCAAATAGAATAAAAAATACATTCAAACTTTCTTAAATGATCAGAGTATAAAAAGATTAATTGAATATATAGACAGGGCCAAAATAGGTCCGATGAAATACTTCTGGTATAAAATTATGCAAGCAGGACTGAATAAAAGCCATTACGATGGTTTAGGAATATATTCCATGCAGTCAATATTGAATGGTGAACAATAACATGAGTAACACTCATCAAAAATGAGTAGAATTTATTGAAATAATGATTTTATTTAACCTTTCTTTTTTTGTGGGCAGAGAAGCTTATTGCTCGATGATGGAGGAAGTGAAGTGAGTTCATAGTTATATTGTTGGAATGTGATGTCTAATGGGCAGCTGCTTGATGTGTGTGAAGTAATTGATGGCTGTTAATGGGTGATTGTGATGTGATGATGGCTGTTAAAGGGTGATGATCATATGATGCAATGATGGCTGTTAATGGGGATTATGATGCGATGTGATGATGGGCTGTTAATGGTTGATGATGGTTGATGATCATATGATGTGATGATGGCTGTTAATGGGTGATTATGATATGATGTGATGATGGCTGTTAATGGGCGATGATCATGTGATGAGATAATGGCTGTTAATAGGTGATTATGATATGATGTGATGATGGCTGTTAATGGGTGATGATCATGTGATGAGATAATGGCTGTTAATGGGTGATTATGATATGATGTGATGATGGCTGTTATTGGATGATTATGATATGATGCGATATGGCTGTCAATGGGTGATTATGATATAGTGTGATGATGGCTGTTAATGAGTGATTATGATATGATGTGATGATGGCTGTTAATGAGTGATTATGATATGATGTGATGATGACTGTTAATGAGTGATTATGATATGATGTGATGATGGATGTTAATGGGTGATTATGATATGATGTGATGATGACTGTTAATGGGTGATATTCATATGTGTATGAAGTGGTGATCGACAATTAATTGAGTTGAAGTCTCTGTTTATGTAATTATTTAACTTTGATTAGTAAATGTACGAAATGTATATATTCACATGAATAAGTGTAGTCTGAATGATTGTAGCGAGCAACAACTTCATACCAATCAGTAGGATTACGGTAATTTTTAAAGTTTAAATCCTCGATCTTATGAAAAACTGTCGGAATTGAATAAAGTCGTGTATCCGAAAGTCAAGAACAAAGTCTCTAAACAACGGAATTTGAAAAAAAAAATCGTGGCGTGACCATAGAACATTCCAAAAGATTATGCATAACATAGGCTCTAAATATCAAATTTTATATCAATGTGCAAATCTTAATATAGATTATTTTAACAACAACCAGAAAAAAGCGGCATTGAATTTAAGTTTTGGATCCCAAAAGTATCACTTCCTGGTCGACTTAAGATGAAAATAGAGCAAGTCAAAACTCGAGATCAGAGAAATTATTCACCCAACTATGAATATAATATTCTATGCATAACAGAGTATTCACAATTCACACGTCGATTAAATAACACGCAAAATAATACAAACTTTCTACACCGAAATAGTTAACTTTAACTAATCATACAAATACCATGAATAGGACAGCCACTTGAATGAATTCTACCACACAATCTACATAAAATACATTGACGAATTAATACAACCTATTTATTAACACAGGCAAAAAATAAAAATACAATGGCGAACGCACCCGACCGAGAAAATTAAATCGATGAGAACAGTTCCATAACGCACATATTATATGATTTACAAGTAAATAAACCTGCGTATGTCAACGTTAATAAGTTACATACTCAAGATAACAGCTAAAAACTAATTATTAATTTAACTGTTCATCAATATTCACAGAACATTGGATAAAATAATAGATGAGTTCAGTTTTACGACACACGAGTAAACTGAGAAAGACTGCTTAACTATATTGATAAAATAGACAATTTTATCTCGGTCAATGAGATAAATTTATCGAAAATTAAAGATTAATTGTTGTAGGCCTGTCCGGATAATTTAGGCCCGGATAATATTTATTTGTTGTTTTATAATTTCCTTTGATTGCTTGTATTTCTTTTATCTGATTAAAATGTCAGAACAATTCCTCATTTTTTAATTACGATAATTAAATTCTACATTCCACTGAATACTATAAATGAAGGATACATGAAATGATTACTTTTTTCAAGTATTTCAGTTCAGTAAAATTTAAGGGAGAAAAAAATGAATTTAATTTTATTAAAAACAAGATATGCTAAAAAATTTCACAGTAAATTTGTTCACAGTATTATTTTTCAAGGAATACTTGACTTCGTATCTAGCTTCGTTTAAAGTCCCAAGGCGGCCTTTATCCAAAGCTAGGTATTTTTTATTATATATTATATAATTATTTTCCCAAGAATCTGCATTTGTCCAAATTAATGATGAGGATCATACAATGTGGGTCAGAATGACACGTTTAGCATATCTTTTCGATGAGTAAAATTTTAGCAAATAGGCAAATAGTTTCCGATTATTTTTTATTATCTATCATATCTTTGATATAAATTAACTGGGAACAGTATTTTAACCTGGCAAGGGATCAAGTAATTTATTTATGTTATCATTTTAAGAAGATATAGAAGCAGTGCAGCGAAATAACATATAATTACCGAAATAAAAAAGTCATAATCACTTAACTTCAAATTTGATTCTTAAAAATATTAGATATAATACCAATATGACTCGGCGTGGCCGAACGGTCGATATCATCAAGATTGGAGCAGTGAGTTAAGGGTTCGAGCCCCGCAACTTGTTGCAAAACATCGGATCGAGATCGACAATGTGATTAAAAACTGGCGACAGGCCAACTTGGCTTGAAGGTGACACTACTATATATGTAATATTATTATTTATTAATAACATTATTTTTTTTAGGTTTATCGAGAGGCAAATTAAAAAAAAGGGGGATTTGAATGTGGATATAAATTTATAAAACAGAACAGATTGTTTCAGGCTTGAGAAAGCGCTAGAAGTGGTACGGCATCAAAAGGCCTCCCTGAATCATGGAAGACTTGTTAAAAAGTTATAAAAAGATCTAACTCCTTAGGCGCGTCCAAACACTTCATTAAAATTATATTATATGAGATAATTTAGTAAGTTTTTATAAAGTGTAGAGTCTACGACTGGCTTCCCGGCTGCGTTTGTCCGAAATTATTTGTATGTGGATGATTATGACACACTCAGTGAAATGGACGGGTCGTATTGTCATAGAAAACTTAGTTATATTGTGCAAAAGGCGTTCATATTGTTATAACCACAGTACAAGCAGGGAACTCACGTAGCTCTGATACTCATTTTTACCAAGCCAAACTGGGTCAGGATGACTCACACAAGGGCAATAAGTACATCACTTTTCGGACAAATTTCTCTCTTATCTCTTCATTGATTCCATTGTATATTGCCAATGCGGTTATGATAAACCTGTTGAATTGTGTCCAATATGCAGTAAATACTAAACTGGTGGGATCCGAGATATTCTTAACTATATTCAGATAATATCATTCGTTATATATCATTAACGATCCTATTAATAAATAAGAAAGATATTTGGTAAGTGTACGTTCGTAAGAGGTAGCTGGCTTAAGCTTATTGTTTAGATTGACGCATAATAATGACGTCTTATGTATGAGTATTTGAATTAAGGTTCATGAGGAAAGACTCCAATATATTATTATGGATTATCCTCATGTACTTCCTAATATACAGCTTCAAAAAATGTGAACTTTAGAACCATATGATACACATCTTAATTATGCACACGTGGGCCGAGGCAGAAACAAATCGAGCTATTCCCAGTTCTCGCATTCACGAGGTCAGACAAGATTCCAATAGAACTTCGTCAGCAATTAACGCTAAGTGGAGAACATTAAGGCCACAAATTGAATGGCACCACAAGCGCCCAATATTTTTTCAAGATATAATGCAGTTCTTATCTTTTTCCTGGGATTTCTTCCGAGTTTGGGGAGAGGTCAGACTCGGCGGCGTTGACGCAGCCTGACGTCGAGCGAGGGCGAGGGCGTCGTTCGGAACGTAGTTAATCCGTACGCCCCCGTACGCTCTTCTCGGCGGCAACTCGTAATCGAAATCTGAAGACGATGATGACGAGCACGTCGAACACGTTGAGTCGCTGTCATAGTCAGGTTCGTCCAAATCCTGAGACGAGGCGTTCTTTTTACGCGCGGAGTGACCGTCTCGGGGTGAGTGATCGTCATGGTCTGCGTGACCGGAGTATGACGAAGACCGTGGCAAACCGTGCCTGGAGTGTCTACGGCTACCGTGACGCGAAGACCTACGACGGCTGGGGTCTCTACCATGTTTACTGGGACCGGTGGGAACCTCAATAGCCGTAGTGGCAGAACCCGAAGAAGAAGAGGTTTCTGATCTCTCCCGTCGAGCCTGATGTCTTTGGCGGCGAGATTCCGATTTGGAAGATACTTGGGATGGGTCGAAACGAACGGACCGCGAGTGCCGATCGCGTTGTGGCGACATCATCGAACTTTTCTTGAGCGCACCACTTGGGATAATAGAAGTGGCCGGCGAACTTGATCCTGAAGTGTTTCGTGAGGTGGATAAATCAGGCATCGATGCGTGGGCACCCGCTTGTTCCTTCCTGTGGGACTCATATGCCGCCAACAGAGTTTCTAGGTTCAGATGAGACACGTCCGAAACATCGAGAGGACTATTAGTTTTAGATCCTACACTCTTCAAGATGCTCTCTATAGTTCCAGGTGGAGATTTTGTAGCCACTTCTTGTAAAAGATTTATGCCGTGTTCAGCCAATATTCTCCCGAGCGACTTTTCTAGCACTAGTCTGTCAAGTCCAGCCTCTAGAGCATCAGCACATTTTTTGACCGAGTCTTCAGCTGACGTTGTATCATTAGTTTTATCGTTACCTAATTCTGGAGATTTTCGTACGGGAAGTTGTGGGCTCTTCAGAAACTGACCGTCAGATTTGGAGTCATGATTTTTATATTCCAAAGCCCTTCGTCCCATTTTTGGAGACAATTGATTGGGTGATAAACAATGATTAATTTTTGGCGATCGAAGAATCTGGTCACTGGACGGTGGCCTACTATTTTGCCGTAAACATTTCTCATTTTGTCGAGGTGAGTTAGTCTCCGACGACGCACGGGAACTATCAATTTCAGAAGATAGGTATTGATGGCTATTACAGTTCTTGCCTGTGGTCTCATCAATTGGTTTCTGACTAGACTTCGTAGACGAGCGATCCTTTTGGGCGAAATTTTGAAGGTTAACGTACTCGTGCTTGGACTTTTGATCCCCACAAGCGGATGGGGAGCGTATGACGCCATTCCCCTGTTCAGACGTTTTAGATGATGCAGGTGTGGAATTTTCATGTATTGCCGACATGGACGAATTTCTAGCAACTGGATGTCCACCATTCATCCCAGCAGCTGGAATACCTAGATGACCGTTAAAAGGAGATGTTCTCGTTGGTTCGTTGTTTCTGCCATTAGAATGTAATTGATCAGCAGATAATCGTCCATGTGGCCGAGACAAGTCACTGCGTTTGTTTCTAGATTCCAAGCCAGAAGAAACCTGCCTCTGAAGACTCGGCGATCTCGAGCTCGTGGTTTCTGACTCCGAGCTTTCCTTCAATGGTGAACTCTCTAAAGTTTTTCTCTTGAATCTCGGAGATTTAGACGAATTTTGCGTTGCTGTGATAGGGGATCGTATATCTTTGCCGCTTAAAGCCTGCTCGGAAACAAACCGATCACTCCCGAAGTACCCAGCTTTCGACGTGATGGGTGAAGTTGATTCGGAGTCAACAAACCCATCCGGAATTTCACTGGCTTTAAATTTGGACGTCATGAGGCTCGGCGGTTGGCCATCAGGCGTGTTGCCGTTACTGTCGGACGGCGTAGGAGGCTCTCCTTTACTGCAGGCAATCGAGCAGTAAATGGAACCTCGGCGTGGCAGGAAGGGGCGGCCAAGTAATACTCTACAATACTAACCCTGATCTACACCGATGGCGTGACCACAAGTGTCACAATATTCAGCAAACATGGAGTCGAAGCAGTGCAGACAATATGGCCGACCGTCGCGCATGATGTAGCGCTGACCCCCCAGGCGCGCGTCACACTCGAAACACGCGAAGTGTTTCATGTGCCACGCGCGGCCCTCCGCCTCCGTGCACTCGTCCGCCAGTATAATCTACAAAATGAAATAATTAAACATTGAATTTATTAAATTATCTATTGGAATTGACAGGCAGCATTTTAGAATTTAGATGCTGGCTCGACTCTGCAACAGGGGTCACCCAGGATTCGGCAGCACGTAAATTAGCGCTCTATGTCCGCTTCGGCCGGGCTTGTAGTGCAGCCTCTCAGTAGCTTGCCAGTTCATTATAACTCGGCTTCGGTCAACCTTTGATCTACTTTCAGGATAAACTTGTCGCACTCTCAGGACGCTATAAAGTCGGAAAAGAGATTCTGATCAGAAGCTGATTTCGATCAGGTGAACACAGCATAACCCAGAACAACTTATAACGATTCCTGAGTGAAACGGCTCTATGACAGAAGCCAAGGCGGCACTCGAATTTTGTTTTCGGATGCTCATAAAATTTAATTAATACTGTCGATGTTCGTTGGTATGGTATGCAAGACCGAATAATAAAAGTATGTCTATGTGCGCTAGTATGATCTGCATAATAAAGTAATTAAGTAATTAAATGATCAGACAGATAAAGTTATTAAATAAGTAAATAAATATATGATTTAGCTGATCATATGTATAAATTCTGACGACGTAAGCTCCGACGTACGATGCGCAAGATTTGGTAATTAAATAATGTAATAATTATATGACCGGGCTAATAAACCAATTATGACGATGTGCCGGGAAATACATCCAGGAAGGGGGCAGGCATTTACTGGCAGTAAAACTAATGAGTTGTAAATTTCACTGAGAGTATAATTTTGGAATATTCAAGTTTTCAGAAGCACCGTGGAAGATAAAGATTCAGATATTTTAAAAAATAAACTAATGTAAAGATTCAATGGGCAGAAAATAGTAATTTTTATGTTTGTCCGATCAGGAAATTCATCAATGTGAAGATATCATGAGACGAAAATTAGAAAACATGTTATCCTTGCTTGAAAATATCAAACTCATTAAAGTTGGTGAAAAAAAAACTCTAATTTCAATCAATGTTAAATTTACGTTTTGTATATTGAATAGAACGAGAATTCCTTATCAAATCAAGGATGTTATAGTTTTTAACGTCGAAAGCTTACCCTTTGATTTAGTTAAGGAAGTGTGTTGTTATTTGGACAATATGACCATCTAATTCAAATGAGTGGAAGGCACAACATTAGTGATGAGTTGGCTCGGGTAATTAAGTGTATGAAAACATACGCACGGGTTGTAAATGAGCAAAACAAATGCAGCTCATTCAAGTAAAAGTAGACACAGACAGACCACGACTGATAAAATCAAGCCAAAGCAGACAAAATAAATAACTACGAAAAATCAGACAGAAATCGACAAAAACAGATAAAACTGGACAAAGCCAGACAAAAGCGGACAAAAGCAGACATTTCCAGACAATACCAGATAAAACCAGACAGAACCTGACAACAGCAGAGAAAACCTGACAATTCCAGAGAAAACCGTACAAAAGCAGACAAACGCTTTTAGTTCGACATATGATAGATGTAAACATACATCAAGTGGAAAATTAACAATATTATTATTACATAGAAAAATAAATAAAGTGGAACCTATACAGCACTTTTAGTTACTAGGTGAGAATTGAAAAGTAATACTAAGTTACGAGAATGTAATATGTCGGCACTTTAAATTACCTCATCGCAGGCGGCGCAGCGCGGCTTGAGGCTCTCGGCGTGATGTCTACCGCAGTAGAGCGCCCCGTCCTTCCAGAAGTAGATGAGATCTACGAGCAGCTCGCGACACACGCAACACGTGAAGCACGCGGGGTGCCAACACGTGCTGGGACCCGCGCGCGCCGCGCTCACTACGATGTCACCCCCGCTCAGCCGCTCCGAGCACTGCACGTTAGTGGACAGCGTGATTAATGGGCACCAGGATGATGATTAATGGGCAGGATTCAAACAATTACGCTATCTTATGCAAGATACAATAGATGTTTGTAATCAGAGATACAGTGCAGGTGAACAGTGAGCAGGTCACCTGTGCGCAGGTGAACAGTGAGCAGGTCACCTGAGCGCAGGTCATGTCGTGCGGCAGGCTGAGCGGCAGCTGCTTGACGGAGCCGCGGCCCAGCGACTCGCGCTTGCGCTGCGCAGAGAACAACCGCAACTCCCGTCGCTCCTCCTCCGACAGGCCGTTGCAGTAGCGAACCTGTTGGCATGTTAGTGACATGTTAGTGACATGATAGAGACATGTTAGTGACATGATAGTGACATGTTAGTGACATGTAAGTGGTATGTTACTGAGAACAACCGCAACTCCCGGCGCTCCTCCTCCGACAGGCCGTTGCAGTAGCGCACCTGTAGGCATGTTAGTAACATTTTAGTAACATGTTAGTGATATGTTAGTGACATGATAGTGACATGTTAGTGACATGTAAGTGGTATGTTACTGAGAACAACCGCAACTCCCGGCGCTCCTCCTCGGACAGGCCGTTGCAGTAGCGCACCTGTAGGCATGTTAGTAACATGTTAGTGACATGATAGTGACATGTTAGTGACATGTTAGTGGTATGTTACTGAGAACAACCGCAACTCCCGGCGCTCCTCCTCCGACAGGCCGTTGCAGTAGCGCACCTGAAAGCGGGATTTAATATTGACATGATAGACATGTTAGTGACGTGATAGACATGTTAGTGACGTGATAGACATATTAGTGACGCGAAAGAAATTCTACTGAGAATAGCCGCAGCTTCCTAAATGATATTGTATTCGGCTTCAATCGGGTGGCCAAGCAGACCGAAAAATGCTCAAGCTGATTGTAGCGACTCTTTGGCCGAATCCTAGCGCTTACTCAAGTCTGTTGTGGTCTCAATCAAAAGCAATATCATTTGCTGTTATATGTCATAAGCAACCGCATTTACTTATAACACAAATGCATCGGACAGTCCCTCCCTCTCAGCGGCACAAGTGGCCAACGCAATTAAGCAATCCCGTTCCTCTACTCTAAGGCCACTGGACCCGACAAACAAACCATCTTTCACCTCAAATATCTTGGACCACTTGGAATTACCTACCTGACGCGCCTCTTCAATGAGTCCCTCTGAACATGCTGATTACCCGACATCTACAAATCAGCCAAAGTCATACCGCTGCTCAAACCCGGCAAACTGGACATTGATGCTAAATCCTACCGACCAATATCACTGCTTTGCTCCGCCATCAAAGTCTTGGAAAGATGCTTGCTACCTATTATCACCAACACCTGCCCCTAGCCGATCATCAACATGGATTCCGGCCCGGATATCCGACCACGTCTGCACTCACCCTTCTCACTACAGACATCATCTACGGTCTTAACCAAAAGAGGCCTGCTCACCGAACCATTATCACCGCACTGAACCTCACCAAAGCCTTCCACACCGTCAACCACCGGATACTGATCGCCTCCCCACTACCCGGACCTATCACCCGCTGGATCTACAACTACCTACACGGCCGTTCAGCCTCAACGGAATTCCGCCATCAAAACTCCAAACACCGAATAACCCACATAGGCGTTCCACAGGGCTCCGTTCTGTCTCCTGCCCTTTTTAATTACTATGTCTCCAAGGCACTCCAACCACCACCCAACATCAAGATCATCTCCTATGCTGATGATTTTGCAATCTACAGCACTGGTCTCGACGCCGAACTTCTCACACAGCAACTCAACGACTACCTCCCTCAACTCTGCCACTTTTTCGCTCACCGCAACCCGGAAATCTCTGCTCCCAAATCAACAGTCACCCTCATTACACTGCACAGAGCCCAGTACAACCACCACCCTCAAGTCAAGATCAACAATTAACTCCTCCCGCTGGAACACAACCCAAAAATCCTTGGCTTAACCTTTGATACCATGCTCACATTTACCACCCACCACAGAAACACGGCAGCAAAAGCCTCAAAACGCAACAACATACTGAAAGCACTCTTAGGCACCTCCTTTGAACTAGATAAGGAAACTCTACTGCAAACATACAAACTCATCGGCCACCCAATAATTGAGTGCGCCAGCCCAGCCTGGTCTCCTATCACCTCTTATACTAACATCACCAGCCTCCAATCAGTTCAAAACTCTGCTCTGAGAACTATAACCGGTTGCCACAACACAACTGCCGAACAACATCTCCACTCCGAATGTCAAATGCTCACTATTCAGCAACACACGGGCCTCTTCTCAGCCCAATACCTTCTGCAGATCCACCACCCAAAACACACCTGCCACCAAATCACAAGACCACACCCCCAACCCCGCAACATCAGAGATACTCTTTTCACCAACCGTGCCGTTCAACCTTCACTCCCAACCAATATTAACAGCGCCACCCTTAAAGCAGCTAGCCACCCTTAAAGCAGCTCCACTCCAACGCTGCCCGAGCTGCCATAGACTCGTACCATCCACCAGTACTACTCAACGGCTGGCCTCCTCCGCTCCCAGCAATAGATAAATCAGAATATATACCGTAAAAATCCGCAAGACGAACGCTGGCACAACAGATGCAAAAGCAGAATCCATAATAACACAAATAACCTGAGCAACTACTGCCATCTCTCCCCGGATGATGTGCCTCGCCTCTTCGACTGCCCTAAAAACCCAACACCCCTCAGCAGCGTAGACCTTTGAAGGTAGACCTACGAAGCGTAGACCTACGCTTTGCGCTGGCTCCAGCCACGGCTAGACCAGTGACGCCGGGATCGGGCGCGGGCCAACAACAACAAAAACAACAACACAAATGCAGCAGTTACCTCGTTGTCGTGAGTTGGCAGTTGGGGCATCAGTTGCTTATAACATAAGTGCAGCAGTTGCTTATAACATAAGTGTAGCAGTTACCTCGTTGTCGTGGGGTGGCAGTTGGTGCAGCAGTTGCTTGATCCTGTACTTCTCTCCCACGGAGTTCACGTAAGGCACTTTGTCTTCAGGCAGCGCCAATACGTACAGACGGACCTGCAACAGTCGTTAATATGAATATGGATACAAATTATCATGAATAATGAATATGTTTAATAGAACAAAACTAAATAACTGTTGAATCACTGACTCCAATATTTATTTACATGAGAGTCACTGATTCGTAATGGCTTTCATTACGAATAATTTTTTTCATTACGAATAATTTTTTTCATTTACAATAATTCGTATTCTTACAAATTCACTCTGGAATTCACATAGCTCTGCTTGTATGTGACATGGGAAAATTCTTAAATTTTTTCATATAATATTTTTATAGACATCGAAATAAAAAAATGCAGGTTATTATTCCCAATTAATTTAGCGTCCGGTCACAGCATCTATTTGAAACTTCATTTGAAATCAGAGGCGAATTATTGGTGGCATATGCATGGCCAAGGGTTGGCCGGCTTGGAAACGACTCTCATGGAAGTAAGGAAGAAGGGAGGGAGAAGTGAGGGAGAAGTGAGGGAGAAGCGAAGTCTTCCAGTTCCCTCAAGGGGGCACTAAACAGTTCTTGTAGCCTAGCAGCTTCTTCCATCCAGAGCGCAATGAACTGATAACGCTGCTGCTGATCAAACGATTCAGCTGAATTGTGTGGTCGTGGAAGATTGTATTTCAGTTGATAAAATTGCTATATGATACAGCAGAGTGTGGCCGTGCGTGGTTTAATTCCTATTAACTGATCAAACCTGCGATACGATTTAGCTAAACCTTAAGTTCAAGTTAAACCTCACCAACGCACCATTTTCTGTGCGTGTGGTGCTACCGACTAGTCACCCACGCACCATTTTCTGGGCGTGTGGTGCTACCGACTCGTCACCCACGCACCATTTTCTATGCGTGTGGCTCTTATACACATCTAGATGTGTATAAGAGACATTCTCCTCACATTCTCCTCACATTATCCTCCCATTCACTCCGCATTCTTCTTACATTCTTCTCACATTCTCCTCACATTCTCCTCACATTCTCCTCACATTATCCTCCCATTCATTCCGCATTCTCGTCACATTCTCTTCATATTCTCCTCACATTCTCCTCACATTTCCCTCACATTCTCCTCACATTCTCCTTACATTCTCCTCACATTCTCCCCAAATTCTCCTCACATTCTCCTCACATTCTCCCCAAATTCTCCTCACATTATCCTCACATTATCCTCACATTCTCCTCACATTCTCCTCACTTTATCCTCCCATTTACTCCGCATTCTCCTCATATTCTCCTCACATTCTCCCCACATTCTTCTCACATTCACCCCACGTTCACTCCACATTCTCCTCATATTCTCCCCACGTTCTTCTCACATTCTTCTCACATTCTCTTCCCATTCTCCTCACATTCTCCTCACATTCTCCTCACATTCTCTTCAAATTCTCCTCACATTCTCCTCACATTCTCCTCACATTCTCCTCACATTCTTCTACCGACTCGTCACCCACGCACCATTTTCTATGCGTGTGGTGCTACCGACTAGTCACCCACGCACCATTTTCTGGGCGTGTGGTGCTACCGACTAGTCACCCACGCACCATTTTCTATGCGTGTGGTGCTACTGACTCATCACCCAAGAACTATTTTCTGTGCGTGTGGTGCTACCGACTAGTCACCCACGCACCATTTTCGGTGCGTGTGGAGCTACCGACTAGTCACCCACGCACCATTTTCGTGTGCGTATGTGGTGCTACCGACTCGTCACCCACGCACCATTTCGTGACACCGTACCGACGCATCACAATGGTCGCTGTTTTACACGCCCACAAAAACCGGCCGTTCGAATGCCTCGCTGAGAATCAAGTAAAAACTCCGGATACGGCGGGCGATACGGCGACGCTTTCGCGCACCTGTCAGGTCTCGATCCGAAGCGATCGAGCGATCGTGTTCTCAGAAATACTTTAGGGTGATCGTAACTTCTACGATAATTGGGCGTTCAGTTCAGCGGTTGATTGGTTTCGTTATTTTATTGTGTTATTGGTACTTTTTAAAAATGCTTCTGTTATATAGGTATATGAAATGTTTATGTTATTTATATAAATTTCTGTGCAATGTGTATGACATATTTTTATTTATACCTTCAATATGTGCATATACTTGATACCGGCAGATACTTACATGCGAAATTGCTTACAATTGAATAATAAAAGACAAGCATTTAACTGATCTGAAATACTTTACGCAAGACTAAGAGTTTATCTTATTAACTTTTTAATGATCATGACAATTATTGAGGAGAATTGTTTTGTATTGCAATGTGAAGCAAATCATCGTCATGGCTTACAAACTCAGTGCAGAAGAAAATTGGTCTGATAAGTTTTGTTTCATTAAATACGAAAGAAATAAACACTGGTGAGAGAGATTTGAAACATGGAAATAAGATGTACAGCCTAGGAAACAGCTTAGGAAAATTACCTTAAATTCACGTATTGAGTAAAGAAAAGCGGAAAAATATTCAAATAATTGCCATTTGTTTGAAGGAAATGTGAATATGTGACGGTGGTTATTTAAGTTGAGTAAGAATTGAGCTATATATGATAATTCTTAGGAAATAAATCTTGACGTAGAAAAGAGAGAGATTATGTCAGGACTTTGGGTGCAACAATATCCATTAATTGATAACACAAAGTATCAAGAGACCGCCTCTAAATTATGATTAGTTGCGAAATTTAAGAGTCGAACTAATTATTTATTTAAGTTAAGTATCGTTCTATTAATAATAAGTTAAGTATTTTTCAGTATCGTTCTATGTCATTTCAAATGAGTATTTTTATGTATCGAAATATGTATTTACATTGTACATTATTAAGCATGAAAACTTGGATTTAAATAAAGGATTTTTAACAATCGAACTATGAATTCAAGTTAAGTAATTTAAGCAAAAAACTATATATTTCAAGTTAAGTATTTATGAAGTATCGAACTTTGAATTCAATTTTAGTAAATTAAAGTATCTAACCATGAAAGTAAGTATTCTTAGGTTTCGATCTATGTATTTTAAGTTAAACTTTTTAAGAGTTAAAGTCAAGTATTTTTACAACCTGCGACCGGCCATAGAGCAGTGCTCCGACATCGAGAAGTCTGTTCTTTTCAAAAAGCCTGGGAATTTACGACTTTGTTGGCTAACATCGTCCCGGTTGCTAAAGCCATCGTCATTGTGAAAAACATTCAAAAAACATCTAAAGAAATCCTTGGTTTTTATTTGCCGGAGATTTATTGATGGCGTTTGAACGGCCATCGGTGGCCAACGACGATGTGATTGGTAATTTCAATTGGGTTAACAGGCGTCGACTGCATTGAATTTTCAGCCGAGTTTAGACGGTTGAACAAATCTTTAGTGAATAAAACGTGAGTTGAAGATTCGATGTTCCAATTCTCGCTGATATTTAATTTAGCCCTCAACTCACATGCAAATTAATTTCAGTAGTGACTGATAAATCAGCAATTAGTAGTCACTCTATCAGTAGTGACTGATAAACTTTCAAAAGTAGTTTCTAGACTCAAATTCTTGTAAATTGTTAGCCTTGCTACTGTTAATACGATAATTGATGAGAAACTTTATTTATTAAATAAGTATCTGCTCTGCTCAGGATATGTTTACCCTTCAAGGTTAAATTATTATTACAGAATAATTATGCTAATGTTAATAGAGGACAAAAAAGTAACCAACCTGCTCAGGCTTGAGGCCAGGCGGTACTCACTTGTACTTCTCCAGCTCATGGGCCATTAAAAATATTAAACACATTACGTTCATATATTAATTAGTTATATATTAATTACTAGAGTACAAAGAAAGTAACTAACCTGCTCGGGCTTGAGGCCAGGCGGCACCCACGTGTACTCCTCCAGCGCGCAGCCGGAGTCGTCGTCGCTGTGGCTGTGCCGGTGGTGGTCGCTCATCACTCCAACTCCTCCAAAAACTCCCCCAACTCCAACTCCAACACCTAATCCAACTCCATTCTTCTTGGAGATGATGGATCCTTGTGCTATAGGTGAGTTTTGAGCTGAGGTTTGGGCCTGAGGGTTGGAGGAGGTTGAGGGCACGCTGTCCGATGTGGTTGTAGTTGTGAGGGCAGCAGTTGAGGGAAAAGTGGACACTTGAGGGGAGACTGAATCTGACTGAGGGCGTAAATTTTTGGTCGGTATTTGGGAGTTGGGGAAAATGTAGCTGTGGGGATTAGCAGAAAGCACGTGGAAACTTGGATTGGACCCCAAAGGAGGTAGTGGGTGAAACGTGGAACTTTGGGAGTAACCGTACGGTGGAGGGACGGACGAGGGTGAAGTAAACCTTGGTACTTGAGGGGAATTTGGTCCAAAGGTTTGAGGGGGATTATTGAGAGGAATTTTGGATGAGTTACTTGGACCTGACCCTAAAGAAGAAGATGGATATTGTCCCAGTAAGTTGGGCCCGTAAATGGGTGGACCAGAAGAGGAGGGGGGAGTATTAGGAACTCTTGGGGGAGTTGGGGACTTAGTGGAGGGAAATTGGGCTTGTGCCGCCATGGGGGAGTCGGGGGAGCTGGGAGAACTTGCCGACACGGAGGGAGTATTCACCCCGCTGTGTTCCTCACGGGGACACTTGCAGTTTCGGCACACCTTCCTGCAATAATAAAACAAATTAACATTAGCGAATAAAAGAACTGTTGCCTTCGTCGTACATATGGACACAAGTGAAAAAAATTATTTTGAAATCTTTCATTGTTATTCTCAAGGTGCGACTTTTGGAACAAAGAGCTATAAACATTCACCATAAAAGTTGTAATCCAGATTATGCTTGAACTGACTTTGACTGAAAATTTGAACTCTTTTGTTTTCCGGAAAGCAGAGAAGAATATTCTAATTTTAGGAAGGTATATCATTGTTTCAGGAAGGAGTATAGTAATGATTAAGGCATAAATATACCAACAACGCTAGCTTCTCAGGAGCAGCGTAAGTTAAGAATTAAGGTCATGGTGTTTCAAGAGCTTGACATGAAGTGGGCCACGGAACTCCATTAAAAAGTTGACTCGGAAATGTCGCTATGATGAAGTGTGGGAAATTTGCTGCTGCGCGTTACGGAGGAAGAGTCAAGATACCGAGGGCTTGTGTAAGTGTTCAACTAGCGATAGTTAACTTGTTAATAAATACTTCTTTAGACAATAATAGTTATCTAACATTAGTATTAGCAGCATCGAACATTAAAAATAGTTATCTAACCTTAGTGTTAGCAGTATCTAATATTAGTGCTGGCAGTATGTAATATTAACAATAGTCAACTAACACTGGTTAGAAAACACTTGTTGACTACAGTATATAACTAACACGAGTTAAAAAGGAAGAGTTACCGCTAGAAAAATAGTACTAGCACTTCACACTAGTTACTTAACTATTGTTACTTAACACTAGAAAGTAACATTATTTAAACACCACTAGTTAAGTAACTTGTGTTCGTTAACAATAGAAAATAATACTAGTTAGCTAACATTAGTTACGTCATTAGCCAATAATAATTATTTAATCTTAGTTAAGTAACCAGTGAGTAGTACACTAGCATTAACCAACACTTGTAAACTTACACGGGACTTCCGTATTAGTGTCGGGAATGTCTCAAGAGCACGTGTTGTATTCTGTTAAGTTTATTTGTCGCACGTTCTTGAGCTTCAGTTTTGTTATACATTTTATGTTGAATTAAATAAAAATAAGTCGTAAATGATCCTACAATTTCAGAGATCAATGTGTTGCTTAAAAGGGTACGCATCCTTTCATTCTCAAGGGACATCCTGTGCTTTATAAGTAAATTTGCATTATCATGTAATACTAAAGAGCATTTCAGAAAATAAATAAAAATTTTTTACTTCACTGGACAAGTTTTTTTTATCACAAAGAAGGGTTTGAGTGTTGCAAATGTCGTGAGTGCTGGTAAGATTGAAGGACAGAGACTAAATTCGTAGCCAAAACAAAACATCTTTCCGTGCATAATACAACGGAGTTAAAAGGCAAAAAATTAAAGTTTACATTTTACAGGAAACACAATAAGGAAAATAACAAAAAAAGGGTAAAGTGATTTACAGGAAACACAATAGACTAAACTAGCAGTTGTGCGATGGTTAGTGTTGCATATATTGCGAACATTTTAAAACTACGCCATTTGTTATGAGGCTTCATAATATGATTTTTATAAATAATGTTCATGGATATAAAAAAGCGTATTTGAATTACAATGACCCTACAGAGATGGCCGCGTATGTCTGATGTGAACTTGGAAGTTTTCTAATATTTAAGGTTTTGAATGAATATTTTTACGTCGTCGTCTTACGACAACGTAAAAATATTCCTCTCACACATTTAACAATAAGGAGTACCTTACGACAACGTAAAGATATTATCACATATTCCTTTTACAATCCTCGGCAAATCGAAAATTCTCGATTTAACTGATACATAAACATGAAAATAATCCTTTAGAATATCAATGCAAAAAATGAAGGCATGCCTGCGACACTCATTCAGAATGAAAAAATGTCAAAAAATGAAATCTTTATGGCTTAAAATTAGAAAAAAACTCAAGCAAGTGAAGAAAACATAAGGCGTCCCGGTCGTATTTTCTGAAGCGCGGAAAATAAATCTAAAAGTTTTGAATCTCAGCAAGCAATAAAAATGTGATTGATCGCTGCACGGCCTGCAGAAAAATAACGTTATGGCTGGAATAAGCAATAACACAACACATGTTATTATCTTCTTGCATTCAAAACAACTTTACAAAAAATAACTTATTGAAATCTTTCTGATAGGAGCTTGCATGTACTAAGGAATGTGATTATTTTTGAGCATGTTTTTCATGATTATATGATATGAATTTGTATAATAACATATATTGAGAGTATATTCAATACTATATACCGTAAATGCCATATGCCTCTTAATGAGATATTCTTGTTATCATAGGAAGGATAATCATTGCAAGTATAATCATCATCACTAAAGATAATCTAATCGCATCAATAAAGATAATCTAATCGCATCAATAAAGATAATCTAATCGCATCACTAAAGATAATCTAGTCGCATCACTAAAGATAATCTAATAACATCAATAGAGATAATCTAATCGCATCAATAAATATAATCTAATCGCATCAATAAAGATAATCTAATCGCACTAATAAAGATAATCTAATCGCATCAATAAAGTTAATCTAATCGCACTAATAAAGATAATCTAATCGCATCAATAAAGTTAATCTAATCGCATCAATAAAGATAATCTAATCGCATCAATAAAGATAACCTAATCGATAATCCCTAATATTTACGATCATTTGACCTCAATAAAATTCAACCACAGCCTCGTACTAAGCAGCTCTTCTTGAGCAATATAAATAATAGCGCAATAAAGCTCAGTAATAACAGCCCAGTAAATAATAGCACAATAAAGCCCAGTAATAACAGCCCAGTAAATAGACTGGGAATCTTAAACCTTGCTAACAAATTGTGGGAACAGCTACGAGCTCTCAAGGCTACACGTACGACACGTATACGTGTATAAGTGAAGTTATGAGACCTTAACTGCATTTGTATGTGTGCTGTATAAGTGAGTTAAAGAGCAATTGTGTGAGTGTGCTGTATTTCCTGTGTGGTTATGAGGTTGACGAGCGCAGGTCGAGGTGGCGGTGTGAAAGTGAAGAAAAATAATTAGATAATAAGTAAATAAAGATGGTGGGAAATAACACAATGCTTCCTTAAGGCAATAATGGAATGTGGATGGGGGGAAATGGCTTTGGAGCGATGTTAGTAATACCAATATAAGCATATCACAATATAACCTAGAATAAATGATGAGAAAATAAGTATCAATAATATGAAAAATGCAGGAAAAATTGATTAAGGAAAGAATAAGGAACACAAGAAACGTTGATGTGGATGATTTTACACATAAAATTTAAATATCATAAATAAGCAATACTAAATAGTGAGAACATTAAATACGTGAATGTGCTATAAGCTGATGTTAATAATGATCATAAATTAACTTTAAAAAAATGTGATCATAAATTAGAAAAAAATAATGCTTGTAAAATTTTATGACGTTTCCAATGTATTTATAATTATCTTTGAAAGCATTACAAAATGACTGAAATTAGTTATTACTATGTTAATAGTTGGAACTACACTGCAGCATATACTGAAATTAAGTAGAAGATTTTCTAGAATAGACGTTTCATTAGACAAAAAGATGATATTTTGTTTAAATATTCTTAACAACAGGACACTGTAATGAGTTGAACATTCCTTCCTGCACACACGGTAGTTAACGAGCTAACTACTCATTAGAGGAGCTACTTAGCTAAGCCACGAGGGCTCAAATTACTGAGCGGAGGCTCAAAGTGGCGAGGATCAAGTTACCCTCTAACCCTCAGCTGCTTAAGTTCTCGACCTTCTACCCTTCTGCCCTCAGCTGCTTAAGCCCTCAACCTGCTACCCTCTAACCCTCAGCTGCTTAAGCTCTCAACCTGCTACCCTTCAGCCCTCAGCTGCTTAAGCCCTCAACCTGCTACCCTTCAACCCTCAGCTGCTTAAGCCCTCAACCTGCTACCCTTCAACCCTCAGCTGCTTAAGCCCTCAACCTGCTACCCTTCAACCCTCAGCTGCTTAAGCCCACAACCTGCTCCCCTTCAGCCCTCAGCTTCCTAAGCCCTCAACCTGCTATCCTTCAACCCTCAGCTGCTTAAGCCCTCAACCTGCTACCCTTCAACCCTCAGCCGCTTAAGCCCTCAACCTCCTACCCTCTAACCCTCAGCTGCTTAAGCCCTCAACCTGCTACCCTCTAACCCTCAGCTCCTACCCTCTCTAACCCTACCCTCAGCTGATTTTAATCTTTTGAAACACTTTCAAACACTCAACTGAATATTCAACAGCACCTAGAAGTCACCCGATATCGCTTAAGCATTACTGATTAATATTGTGCTCAGAAGACACAAGAAATTGATTGAATATTGTCGCGTATATCATTAATACAGGAAGTTTGCTTTTCTTAAAATATATCCGCTTGATATTGTGCTTATAAGGAGTCGGTTGTTATTTAAATATTCTCGATTATTACTGCATTTAATTAGATATGTTGCAAAATTAGAATTATTTTAAAGGATGACGCATGTGCAAATAGTATTGGTATTATAGTTCGCCGAAAGAAAGTTGTTGTTACTCACAGGTTATGCTAATATTATGTTATGTTACTCACAGGTTATGCTAAAATTGTGATATGTTACTCACAGTTTATGCTAACATTGTGTTGTGTCACACAGGCTATGCTAAGATTATGTTATGTTACTCACAGTTTATGCTAAGATTGTCTTATGTTACACACAGGTTTAGATAAGAACTGCTGTACGCAAGCATTTTAAGAATGCGCTGTTAACAAGCGTTATAAACAGGCGTGGTCAACAATTGCAACAAACAAGCGTTGTAAACAGGTGTTGTAAACTAGCACCAGGTCAGAGGTCAGAGGTGCTCATGTTTTGAGGAACCTGCTAGAGGATGTCGTTAAAAAGCACATATAAGCACATGAATAATTTATTAAAACTGTTTTTACGAATTTTTATTCTTTTCAATTCGATATCGGAA